GGTTCGAATCCCGCTGAAGCCCTGATTTTTTTCAGGCTTCTTCTTTCCAATTGCTTAAATTGGAAAAGTAACTGCGATGATCATTCTTCACTTTCTTTAATTATAATATTATTACAGTATGAATTAATTTTACTGTTACTGCTGTAGAGTAATACACTAGCTAGCTTAAGACACATACAGCTGGCCTTTATCTGTTAAACTTGATCATTCATGCATTAATGAGCAAATTTACCTGTATTTTGTTTTTCTTTTAAGTTGAAGTTATCACAGACTATTATTTGTTTGTTTCTTTATTTCTTGTTATTTATTTATGTTTAAGATGATGTCAATCAGGTCAAATCACACAAAGATCAAGAAGTCAGCAACCATAGATTAAGGTGGCTCCCTATGCCTAGATAGTTTCATGACCACGTACGTGCAGGGCACAAAAGCTTTTAAAAGGTAATTTGCGCATGCTCAAAGGAAAATCTCAGTCTTTTCCAATATTTTATGACGTCAACATGATCACAAAAAACAAAACTGACAGTGAATTTTCTCTTGTTTCTGTCAGTCAAATTCTGTTAAATTCGGTCTATTTAAAATGTTTGAGTGAAGGGGGTGTAACATGATAATCATAGGCATATTAAGCACTTCATATAGGTTAAATAATCATAAGGCAGCATATTACGCACTGCATGTAGGTTAAATATTCATACTCATCCTCAATCTAGAACTTATACTCTAATTTAAAGGTTTCTTATGACTATACTTTCAGTTATGTTAGATAAACATACCTTGGTTTAAGAAGATAGTCACTCATGGCACGAGTGGTAGAGATAAAGGTGTTTTGGTAATATTGTCTGTTATAATTGACATCTGATGGTGACATTTTGAAGATTCTTTTTGAACGTTCTCCTAAATAAAATAACAGCTACATGGTAAGCCATTATTGTTCAATCAATAACTTGCAAATTTAAGTAACTATCCAGTTTCAGCTTGCGAATTTAAATCTAATTCAATCTCTGACTTGCAAGCCTAATAAGAATATTATCAGACATAAAACAGTCGGTCTGTAATCACAACCTCTGTCAAGATTCTCTCATACAAATCTTCCTCTTGGTTAATAAGAACTAATTATTTAAAGATTTACTAGTGCCCTTCACTTAAACAAAATGTGCTCCAAATGTCGAACACTGAGTGCCATTAAATGTGGCCCTTTGGAACAACCTGGGCAACCTCAGGATATGAACCAGCCTGTTTGTAAGGTAGCTTGAAATATAACATGGACACTTTGTCAGAGACACGAAGGACAACCCTTGACTATGTCCTAATTAAATACTACTCAACATTCCTCTAAATCAAATGGGCAGAAAAAAGAGATTTGTTTTTTAAAAGGGCAAACGTAAGTTTCCTAATATCTTCAGGAAATCTTGACCATGTACATGTATTAAGATGAATATGTTCAGTCAACAAGTTTCCAAGGATCTGTACGGGTCCACAAATGATCCCAGGACTGCAAATGATCCCCAAATTGGACCGCAAATGACCCCAGACCGGAAATGATCCCCGATAGGAACCGCAAATGATCCCAACTAAAAAATAAGGAATGGCACGGATGGTGGGATGGTGTGGATAGGGAATTGGCGTACGTGAATACCGATGATATTATTAAAACCATCTTATGATTATAATGGCTCACAACTTGCTTTTTTTTTCATACTTTCGACTAAATTTTGTTGATAACTATGATGTTATGAATATCACCGCTCAATCATCAAAACACGGCTTGGCTTGCATTTCTTTGCAGACTCAGTAAAATTATGATCAGTGCAACATACGCTACATATCCTCCTTTGTTAAACATTGATATTTCGGTGTTATAGATAAATCACATTTTATCGGGTGTCTGGAAAACTCAAATAGCGAATAGCGAATAGTTGCGAATAGCGAATAGTTGCGAATAGCGAATGGCGAATAACATCACAATTTCTTAGCTTTTTCCATTGGTTGGTTTTCAATTTATTATTATTATTATTATTATTTTATTGCGTGACAGTGAAAATGATCTGTACTCTTCGAAGAACAAAACAGCAACTGTGGAATATTTTTTTTGTAAAATGATAAAACTTGTTTTTTAGTTCATAATTTTTGTACATGTTCTCACCATCTTCTGGTATAAATCCATGCCATTTTTTGATCAGGATCATTTGCGGTCCAATATGGGGATCATTTCCGGTCCGGGATCATTTGCAGTTCAATTTGGGGATCATTTGCAGTCCGGGATCATTTGTGGTCCTGGGATCATTTGCAGACCCATACAGATCCAAGGTGAGGGGTGTACATTGTACCATCAGTTTGTGTCTCTTTCAAAGTTTCCAAGTTATAATGATACTATAGGTTACCTTTAGTGACCTTTTTTCTTACAGGCACAACTTGAGAAATATCATCTGATGTTTCACCATTGTTTCCACTGGATCCACTTGCATTGCTTGAAACACCTCTTACATGTTTATAACCTTGGCTGTAGATGTACCTTATAAATGTATGATTGGCTAATTGGCATCTCCTGCTGCATGCTGTGTAATGTGAACAAAATTATTTATATTATTTATATTTAAAATACATATCGGAAGGACATGTCTGCTAGCGCCTGCTGGTGCCTCTAATTCCCCCCCTCCCCCCCCCCCCCCCCCCCCCCCCCCCCCCCCCCCCCCCCCCNCAGAAATCCACAATTTAGAGTCTGGTCCATCACCAAACCCCCAAATGCCACCCCTTCGCCAAAGGCTAGACTTCCCTATGAAAAATAAGATCAAATAAAAAAGTAAAAAAAAGTAAGGCTAAATAAACACTTAAAGGGTCAAATAGTTCCTATAAACTAGGCGTCTCGGGCTTAGCGCTACTTCAGCATATTGAAGAGGGGACAAATCGGAAACTTCTGGTCTACATGAGCTATTTGACCCTTTCAAGCCTTGTCAAAAACAATCGCGGCCAGATACCTTCACATAATTTAAGCGTATCGTGGAAGACATTTTTACTCCATGGAAAGGAACCCTTTCGTCGCAAAAAGAGTCCGATCTTCACATTTTGTCGTGGATATCTCCATAAAGTTGCTGACATTTTTGTCCCTCTCAGTTCAACTACCATCAACCGGCCGTGAACCAAAACATATCAACACCGCCATGTTTTTATTAGGTAACCGAGCTACATTGCTCTCCGAGAAGACTGGGTGACTCCATACACTCGCGTCACGTGCTCTCATCACATGATTGCGAGAATAGATCACATGACACTTTTAACGCTCCTCCATATTGACTAGCAGCTGGTATCTTCTGGTACATCGAGCCTAACTTTTCACAAATAAAAATGGGTGATCAGCCATCTTACGTCGCTTTCTTCGGAGTCATGGGGGCAACCTCAGCGATGGTATTTAGTGGTGAGTATGTTGTGTTGTTGTAGTTGCTATTTTGTGTGTTTTGTTTGTATTTGTACCATGCTGATTATGTATTCGGTGATTTCAATCTCAGCTCTCGGAGCAGCTTACGGGACAGCCAAAAGTGGAACAGGAATTGCTGCTATGAGCGTGATGCGACCAGAGTTAATCATGAAGTCTATAATTCCAGTAGTTATGGCGGGTATCATTGCTATCTACGGACTCGTTGTCGCCGTTCTTGTTGGCAATGGAAGTAAGTTTAGTCTCGTCTTATCCTCATGTTGTAGAAATACGTATTGAAGATGACGTCATACTGTCATCTTTTCATATACTTAATTGCTCTTGTTTCGAAAAGAATCCTGTGTTATGTGGCAATTGGAGCGAACTGAAATTCAATTTATATAGTACATACAAGGATACTTTATAAGGAAAAACACTTCTTTTTTATATTTTTATTTGCCATATTCATGTTAAGTAGAGGTCTTACCAAGGAAAACCCCAATAAGTGACATAACTCAAAAAGAAGAGACAGTATATAAAGTTGGGACAAACAACATTTTTGGAAAAATTTTCTTTCAGTTTCTGACAGTGGGCATGAGGTATGGATAAATTAGGACCAGCTCCATTTATCCCACCGTCTCTCCCTTCCTGGTCCTTTTATTTCTACAAAATGAACTTCCCTAAACAGTTTTAAAATATAACTTGAGTATACAGTCTGAAATTGGAACTGTCTTGTAAGGAAATTGGTGGTATTCAAGTAGTAAGCTATTGTACAACCAGTTGTTGTTGTGACCACAGGGAGCATGTACAGTTGGAGCTGAGAATGAAAATAAATAAAATAATGATAAAAATAGTGCTAGCATGGTGTAAGAGATCTTTTATCTTTAAGTTTGTATAGAATAACAGAAAAGACAACATTTCTTTATTTAACTTATCCTTCTAAACTTAAGTTATTCTTTGCACCCAGTTATTCCAGAAAATCAAAAGACTTAGGTATAAGAAATTTTGATGATTGAAACATCAATGTTACACAAACAATCTTGTTTTATTTCTTTTGAAAGACAGGATTGCCTCACCAAGTGTCAAGTCATGTTTTGCTAGTCTCTCTCCTAACCCTTGGCTCCTAACATTCCCACACAATGTGTCTTCAGTAAAGTCAAAATGTGTGTTCCAGAGTATCAAATATGTTTGTAGCAAATTCAGCATCACTGGAAAAGTAGTAATAGTATTCTTCAAGGTGTTAGTGTAGTTAATTTTGTAGTAATGAGCGTAAGCATGATTTTTGGAGGTGAATTAGGTGAGAGTACTGTGTATACGTCACATAAAACATTTGTGTTTTTTTTGTTTGTTTTCAGTTGGTAAGGATTACACTCTGTACAAGTAAGTAGTGATTGATTTCTCTTTTCCAGTGTTTAACATGATTAGTGTTATTTTTTGGATACTGGTAATTGGCATACATGTAGTAGCACTATAGATACATCTACATGTACTTCTTGTTTTCCACTGGTTGTTAATATGAAGAAACAGCTTAAAAATAAAGGATGTTTGTTTATACTTCGGTGAGATTTTATGGAAGGTAATAGTGTAATGAAATCATCACTGTTCTGTGTTCAGTTACAGTTGCGTGAATCACTCTTCTTAAAATGTTATGAAAGTATTGTTGGCAACAATAAGATACATGCCAACACCTTTTACTACTCTGTAGAGCACAATGTTTAGAAGCCACTATTTCAGTTTTTTGCCTAGAATTTTCATTGTACATTGCATTTATTGCAGGGCTCGAAATTAACTTTTTCGTTCGGGAGCCAGCTGGCGACTAACGGAAAAATTTTGGTCGCCAGATCGTAAATTTTGGTCNAAGATTAATTTTACCTGCGCAGTGTAGAACATGCTGAAATAAAACTGAAGAATTTTAAAGTGCCATTGTTAAAGAAACAATGTACAAAATTTGAGCACATACCTTTGTCACTTACTTTAGCCCTATAGCCCTGTAAGATTGAGCCTAAAAAATTGTTACAAACTTTATGATAATTGTGATTTACTGGTATCTATTATTTTTACAATGTGCTTCATTATATTCAATCTTGGGACTTCTACTAGTGAACAAGGACTCAGCTAACTTGTAAAGTCGTTAGAGAGAAGTCCTGGAGAGGTCCTGTGTGAAATTTATGTCATTTGTGTGATGCTGCCATGCAAGAAGAATAATATGAAGATAATGCTGTGACATACATGTTAATCTGTAGGCAGGCTATAGAAGAAATGGTCATTAAATTGATTTTAATCGCATTGTGTCAAGTGTTTGTTAAAACCAAAAATTTTTAACCATCTGTGCTTTCTATGTTATGCCTCTCATTACAGTTTTTATTATATCAAGGAAACGATAGTTAATTTTTTCTTGTCGTTTTGAGTTTCCCATCATCTCGGACTTGCTGGTAGTTATAACTACCAAGATGGTACATGTAAATCTCAGCTCAGTCATGCTGTATTAACTGTATTGTGAGTAAAGTGTCTTGAATGCTGATCAGGGTGTCAACCTGGAGCACTTAGTCCAACATCATTCCCAGGGTTTCTCTTCTTCCCCACCCCAGGAGTGGGTGGGCAGAGAGACCCTGGAATTAAGGTTTTATTTGGTCTGGACTCCAGTTACTGAACATTGGGCGAGCATGTTACTACAGTCACTAACAGGCTCAACATCTTTATATTTAATACTGTGACAGTAAATTATAGTCTGTGGATTTAATGCTCTGAATTCCTGAGCCTCTAATTCGTATCAGTTTTTAAGACTGGGAACAGATCCAAGGCTGCTCGAAGCACATACACATACGACATACAGTAAAATTTTTAAGTACACTTTTCCAAAACCCTGGAATATACATTGTAAAAGTGGCATGAAGAAGACATCTCTTTCAGAAAGCACATACAGGGCCATGCTCTCTTAATCTTGCATCTTGTCACCTTTTGTTCCTTCCTGTCCTCAGACAAGGAAAAAATGACACTGGAGACATGATTTGATTGGCTTGATTCTTGAACTAAAATTTTCACGAACTCAATGCTGGTTTCCCCTTAACGTATCCACTCATTGATCTTTCTAAGACCCCGTTTGATAACAGCATCATAAGACCCTAACAGACCCAAGAGGGGGTACTCTGCAAAGTATTATATGGGGAGCACCCTGCCTGAGGTCCAACCCATTACCCTTTTGTGCTCCATTATGACAGAAAAGGTACCCCTTTTGAAAACCTTTCCTCGAAAAAAGGTATCTGTTTCATAGGTAGCCCTTTTGGGCAAAGCCTCCCCGGATAGGCCATTATGGGGAGTATAGCTACTCCTTACCCCTCTCCCGCCAGGCTAACAGATATTTAACTAAGAGAAGTGTTATCAGCATGTTCACTGCTGGTCAGTTTTCAACTTCCTGAGTGTCTGAAGGAGATTTGATCTTCTTATTAAGTGCATTTAGAAATCATTTCCCGGTGCTATTTAAGGCCCAGCCGGCTATGTGAGGTGGGGCGATAATGGCCTTTTCGACACCTTCCTACCCCTGGGGTGCGCAGCTATCCGTGGGGATATCCGTGGGTAGACTATTCTTGTCCCCAGTGCTACTCGTTCTAAATTGGAAGAGTCGATGTTTTCATCCTGGATGGCAGAAGGATGGCCAAAAAGTTCATGATGTCCTATCATCACAAGTTTAAAACTGTGAACTCGTTGTGTTCCTTCATATTTCTAAGGAGGTTCTCTTTTCAAGAGAGGATGAATGGGCTTCATCACTTAATACAACCGTCAAGAACAATTACTGCTTTTTCTTCGTCTAGATCTAGAAATGAACAACAAAGATCCATAGGAGAGTTACAGAAGAACGTTTTGCTTGTGGACGAGACAGGTAGTAAACAAGGTGAAATGACGCTTCCAGAAGCGCGGCGCATTGCCAAAGAAAGATCGCTGGAACTTGTTTGGGTTAACAGGCAAGACACAAACGCCGTGCCCGTCTATCGAATGATGTCCAAACTTGAAATAAGCTTAAAAAACAAAGCTCGGTCCCTTAAACCACCGAAAACAAAGAAGATTGAATTAAGTGAGAAGATCGAATCTCATGATTTGGTTTTCAAGGTGAAGCACATCCAGCAGTATTTGGAAAAAGGCCATCAAGTGAAACTTTCTGTTAAAAGCAAGCGTAGGACTAACGTGGATGTCTCAGATGAGAAGTTGGACGTCATAAAGAAAGTACAACAAGAGATAGAGGGTGTTAAAGTTGAAAGGCCAGTACAGGAGAGTGCGCAGGTTGTTACTTGCGTCTTTAAACCTATTCGGAGTCCCGATGATAAGTCGAGTTCATCGAAAACATGACTGGGAAGAAATAAGTTGAAGTGCGCGTGTACATTAATTGCCACACAGCTGGTGCGTTGCTTTGGCCCATTGCATCATCATCGCTCTCGAGTAGAAAGTCTTCTTCTCAGCCTGTTTGGATATCAGGTTTTCACAATATGGGGAGATAAAATTTAATTGAATGTTCAGTAATCAAACACAATCTAAGCTCCAAAACTGTTTTAAGTCTGCAGACAATAGCCTCCTACACAGACACTCTTTGGGCCTGTCATGCAATCTTCATCTCCCATGTGGTGGGAGGAAGATTGCGTGACGATCCCAAAGAACATCTGCGTAGGAGGCTATGCAGACAATAGCTTTCATGTTGTCAGACTGCTGGTCAAGTCTACTGAGACTCAGTAATTGATCACAGATTTTCTTACTACAATTTGACTTCTGTGATCAATTACTGAACAGATGTACAGCAACATGGAATCTATCTGAAGACATGATTGATCATTGTGGTTATACATACAACTTAAGCAGTTGTGAAATTAAGGTCTGATAAAAATTCAGGCTTGAATGGGATTCAAACCAATGACCTATGCAATACCGGTGCAGTGGAGTTCGGTCGTTTTGATACAAATTCGTTTCGATACAACTCAAAAGTCAATTCGATACATATCTAAAGTCAATTCAATACAAACTGAAGTCAAATCAGTACAACCTTAATTTACCTAAAGTAGTTTCAATTCGCTACAGAAACTTTGCACGTAAACTTTCAGCTAAATCAGAAGCATATCAGTTTGTATCAAATTGACTTCAGTTTGTAACAAATCAACTTGAGATGTGTATCGAATTGACTTCTAGTTGTACTGAAACAATTTGTATCAAAACGACTTTGTATCGAAACCACCATAAACTGGTGCAGTGTGGAGATCATAGGTAGGAATCATGTTAAAGCCTGAATTTAATGCTTTAATGCTTTAATGCTTTAATGCTTTAATGCTTTAATTTCACAACTGCTTAAGTTGTGTATATAACTGTGATGATCAATCATGTCTTTATGTTTCTCCACAGCTCAAATATCGGTATATGATCTTTCATATATTCACTTGTATGGAGTCTATCTGTTTTATATAATAAAGAGAAAAAACAAACAAAAAGAGATGTTAATGATGGATCTATGTGTCTGTTCTCTCATAACTTGCAATCATGTGTTCTTTTAACTTCTGTTAGATCATAAGGGCCATTAACATGCAAGAGTAATTTGACTTACAATATTTTGATTTTATAAACCTATTTCATGCACGTAGAGTATATTATATGACCATGCTGAGATACAAAATTTCTCTCAGTGTTGAATTTCAATCATGATATATTTTTCAACATGAGAAGAGAAATCTTGTATCTCCTAGCAACTATGTAATTTTCTTGTTATTATATAAAATTCACATACTACATAAACATACTAATAAGAACATTTTTAATGATTTTCCGAAGTTTTCCAACCACTTACTGAAGATTTGCGAAGATGTTCTAAAAGTTGTCTGATTGTCACATGAACGTTTTGGAACATTTTCGGAAAAGAAGATTTGCGAGGATAGGCGAAGATTACTAACTGTAACATCTCTGTTGTAGTGCAAATTATTAACTTTGAAAATCTTGACAAAAATGCAGAAATCTTTGATCTTTTCTTTGAATAACAATTCAGGACTTGATAAAGTTAAGCTTTCTGGCCTAGCTAGAGACATTATACATATTTTAACCAATCAGGTGAAGCTGCAGTGGGGAGAGCAGGTTTCATCACGCAGGCAATGATAATAATAAAATATATGCATGACTAATAACCAGTAAACAGTAAGTGAATGAAATGTATTGTTTCTTGTTACTTTTCATAAATGATATTGGAATCTAGTAATAATGCCAAAATATAAGCCCACCCAAAATCCCTTGTGAAGTTGTATAAACGGTGTTTTGCAGTACACATTTTCCTTGTTTTGTACTTTCTTGCTTTCCTGTTTAGGTCTCTGCTCTCTTTCCATTTTCAAAGAAGAAACATCACATTTGGTTACCGTTATTGTTTTGAGCTTGTGTTAGGACCAGAGCAAAACTAAATAGCAGCCAAATCTGAATTTTTACTGGTCCTTTTATAATTAGCTCTCTGAGGCTACAGGTTTGTGTTAAGTCATGAGATTTTTGACAAATTTTAAGAAACTGAAATATCACAAACGAAAAGAAACAGAAAAGCCAAAAGGGACCACAGAAGGGTTAAGCTGTATGGTAAACTTGAAATACACTGGCCCCACTTTTTTCAAGTTTATCTCATTTGGTATGACAGTGTAGTTTTGGTTTTAATTTCATCAAGGACAAATAGAAGCAGTATTCTCTAAGTATTGTTTATTTTGACCAATAGTAAGGTACAATATATCAAGATATTTGTTCTCACACATTATCATCTTCACAGTCTTTCTGGTTAATTTATATCTATTTACCATTAAATTAATTCAATGATTTCTTGATTAACTTATGTCAATGTTATTTAATTGTTCATAAAAATATATATTTTTTCAAATAAATGAGTTACAAATGCAAAACTAACCTGTCAACTAATACTATTCAAGCTAGAAGAATCTAACATTACATTTTTGTTAAAATAATTTGTTCGGCATCTCATCTAAATAACAATGCCTTCCACTTAATAATTTTTCTTAAAATATCACTAGAATTAATATTAAATGTGAACGTATGTCTGCTGGTAAAATACTGTAGTAAGCTATGCACTTTATCTGAGTATGAGACATTTTACTGAATATACCATCCTGGAGAAATTTAAGAAATTTATAAAGTGCACAAGAGCTTTGACAGACCTGGGAGTTTGTGACACGTGCGATCACTACCAAATAAGGTAATGAACAGGTGCGAGCAGGAGCCGACCATTTGGATGTGACAAAATAGCGAGTAGAGAGAGAGTTTTCTAGAGTTTACTGTGAGTTGTGAATCCTTACAGTGAGTTGTTGTGCGGAGAATACACAAGAATACAAAGAAGAAGCTGTGAGTTCTGTGTACCGTTTACTGTCATTTAAATCATGAAAATTGGTGGTTTAAAAAATGAAATCTATGACTTGAGAATTTTCATATGTTCTTTGCAAACATGATTAACAAAAATTGTGGTCCATAAATTGTTCATATCAATAGAGTTAACTCTATTTATATAATACTAATCCTTTATTATGTTCTACATATAAAAATAAAATATTATGACAGCTGGCATGCAAGTGACAAGCTATAATTGCGAGCCCTGTAATTTTTCCATTTCCTGGCTCTCTGCATTCTGACCTTCATCCCTTGTAAAGATGGGTGTGGTCAGCTTCTTCCAGCGCTGGGGAAATATTCAACATAAAAATTTAATTTGTCTAGCAGTGGTCAAAGACACCATAAGGGATTAATAAAGCAGTTTGAAAAACATTAATATTCAAGAGGAAAGCTACACTTGCTCTTGGCCTATGGTTGCAACTTTCATGACCAAGAGGTTTTGATTCCCTATGAGTGTTGGTGAACACACTGGTTTACTGGCACAAAGATCCAAGTTCATCTCTAGTAA